ATATACTTTCTCTTCATACACAACCAAGGTGGTAAGTTGTAAATCGATATTAAAACTGGCCAGCATGAGTACGTTGTAGAAACTCCACGGAATGGATTGAATCCATCAGTTGATAAAGCTAACCGAAGGTTCCTAGTGTCAGAAGCAAATTCAGGCCACCGGCTGTCAACATCCTTCCATGTTTTTGAGTCTGCGGGGTGTCTAATCTTGCCATCCTTTTGTCGTTCACTGTCATGCCAAGTGATATCCTTTGAAATATGTGGTGTATTAAAGAAATTCCTCAACCTCGGAAGTAAAGGAAAATACCACAAAACCTTAGCGGGTACCCCTTCCAATTCTTTGCCCTTTCTATTCAACTTCCATCTAGACATCCCACATATGCGACATGTTGTACTATCTTCATCTCTCTCGCCATTATACAGAAGACAATCATTTGGGCATGCATGTATTTTTTGATAATCCATACCTAAAGCACATAAGGTCTTCTTTGCTTCACGAAATGACGAAGGCAGGCAGTTGCCCTTTGGGAGAAATGTCCCCAGCAAAAGCAGAATTTCAGAGAAGCATGAGTCAGAAATCCCATGCTTTGCCTTCAAGTTATATAATTTCACTAGTGCCTTCAGCTTAGTGTAGGTGTTGCATCCCGGGTAAAGGGGTTCAGAATCCCCTTGGACATGGTTCATGAAATCAGAGTATTCAAAAGACCTGTCCTCACCATCTTCTTTGTTGTTTTCATCTGTTCCATCGTCAAATGAGTCATGAACACGTTTATTGTGTGGGTGAGGGGGTTCATCATCTGGATTTAGCTCTCCATGCCATATCCAACATGTATATGATTCATCAATACCATGTTGGAAAAGATGTGCCCTAACTGTTTGTGTGTTCCAGGATTTTGTGTGAACACACTTTAGACATGGACAACTAATTTTTTGTCCCTCAAATTTGTTTTCAGTTGCAGACCTTAACAATTCATCCACTCCTAGTTCATACTCTCTACTTCTTCTATCGGATTTCATCCACGATTTATCCATACGTAATTGAGATAAGACTGGTGACTTACCAGACTCATGTCATGAAGGGTTGCTAGCAGAGTATTACTCCATCGCCGAAAATACCGCAGTGATGAACAAACAGCTAGACCTCAACTATGACTCGATTTCACCCTTGGCTTAATTTCATCCCAGCGCGATCCCAATTTGGGTTTCCACTTTACTCGCTATACCGCAGCTCCCAAGGAAACTGGAAAAGGAGATTGACTTCTCCTTTTTTCACTGTTATACTTCACCTAATTTTTTTGATGGGATGAAAAGTACAAATCTCTACCAAATTTGACTAAATGTACACTAAAAAAAACAAATGTTAGATTCACAAATAAAATGACCTATAAACTTCTATTAATTATATATAACTAAATTATACACAAAAAGTCATACACAAAAAAAATTATGCAAAAAGTTTTGACTACAAAAAAAATTAATACTAAGTATTTCATTAAAAATTCATAGTGTTAAACATAATTTAGTTGTTATAAACAAATTCTATACGTTGATCTGTTAATTTGAAACTTTTGCATTTTCAACCATTTTTCTTTAAATGTCACCAAAATATAACTCATACTTACATTTTGCCGACATTGGAGCTGAAAACCCTAAAATAAGGTAAGTCGTAAACCTCAAATCTGGTATTCCCTCCAATAATAGTCACCATATTTGTTTTCCCAATTTTGTCGAATTCTCTAAGGCCTCTTCTTTGCATGCGTTTACCTCGCTACTCAGATCCCCCCAAAGAGGTCAGGGTTACATTTCTCAATCAATTGAAGTCACAATTCATTGGTTTGTTGTTATTCTTTTTAATTTACTATCTGTAAAGGCTTGCTTCCAGAAAGGGTTCAACCAGAAAGGGTTCAACCAATTCCTTAATTCGTTGAATGTGACCTGAGAGGAGCAATAATTAACAATTTTTTTTCTAGAGTCAACTCAATACTCCTTCAATCCTTTTTTAAATATATTTAAAAAATATTAATCTTAATACTGTTTTAGTGTCCCTTATCACAAACTGTACTCCTGAAAATTCACCTAAAAAAATGAATGTGATAACCCACCTACAAATTGAGGCAGAACCCAATTCTTCATACCTTATTTTAGACTGAAATGTTTGATCTTCACTCACTTTCAGAATATGGCCAGCACTCAACAGAATGCGCAGGTGGGACGTGCAATCCAAAAACCAATTCTCCGATCCTCTCCAAGGCACAAGAAACCTGAAGGTCTTTCAGACCGTAATGAACTGCAATGTCATAGTTCCCCAAAACCCGAGCTCCGAAAATCTCCCAGGCTTAAAAGAAAAGATCGGTCGAGCACTTTGACAGTGGTGCAGGCATTGAGTGGCTCAAGGTCAAAGAACGTGCAAAGCCATGCTACTCCCTTGCCCGTCACCCCAAAGCCAAAGCCATTATCTGACAATGTACAGAAACAGATCAAGCAGAAGAGAAAGTGGGAAGAAGTAGAAAGTGAAAGTGTCGCCAAGCCTTCTAGGGTGGGTTGAAACTCCGAAAACGTGGATGTGTTTCAATGCACCGCGTTGTGAAACATAAGATAAATGGAAAGAAACCAACAGTTTTGTTTAATGATAAGGGACAACCGTATGGTGTGGCTGCTGCAGAGATGCAATGTTATATTGGAGTTTTGGCCAGGACAAAAGCTCCAATATGGTTTGACACTTGGAGGCAAGTTCCGGTAACCATCAAGAACAAGATTTGGAAATTTGTCACGGTAAATATAACCATACTAACACTTGACTAGTCCTTACAAAATAAATAACTTGATCATTAATTATGTACCTGTGTTTTCCAACTGACTTAGACTAGTAAATTCCTCCCATGTTTATGCATATAGTTGGGGTTCGACCTACCCTCTTCTGCACAAAAACTTGTGCTGCAGTCGGCAAATTCGAAGTGGAAACAATTCAAGAGTACCCTGACATGTAAATATATTCTTCCCTTTCGAGATGAACCTGAGAGGCTGAGGACTCCACCAGAGGACTTCTCTTTCCTGGAGAAGAATCATTGAGATATTTTTGTTGCTGATCGTCTAAGCCCCGAGTTCTTGGTAAGACTATGTTTCCATTGTACTTTATTTAAAATACTACCTTTTTGATGAACTGTCCTTTTTTTTGCAGAAAGTCCATGATGAGCATGTGAAGAGAGTTAAGGAAAACAAATATCCTCATCGCTTGTCCCGAAAAGGCTATGCAAACCTGGAACAAGAATGGGTTAGTACTCACTCATATATGCGGAGTTCTGTGTTAGGCGTATTCCTCTTCTACATGTACATTTTGACTATGATTCATTACTCACTAAATGAACATGCAGGCAAAAACACACAGTGGAGATGAGTCAGTCATTGATCGATCTGTTACGTGGGTCCTTGCAAGGAAGGACAAAGAAGGAAATTTCAAGAGTGACTCTACAAAACAGAAGGCGGAGGAAATTGTAAGTTTTAAAATAATTTCTGAAAATTAGTAAGTTCTAGCACATAATATTGTTGTATGTCTCTAATCCCAGCAGACCTGTTGTTTTTCATCCAATGGCTATTCCTTTGATGCTTTAGTGTAATGTTAAAATTTTGAGTTCTATACCACTTCTGTTTTATTGATAGAATTCCGGTTCCTTTTCAGGAGTTCTTAAGGGAACAAGTATGTTCTGGTGTGCTTACTGAAGAAGGTGATGATGATGTATTGACCAAGGCTCTTGGGAAGCCCGAGCACGGTGGAAGAGTTCGAGGTCAAGGAATGCATGTGAGGAAGGCTGTGTATTTCAATCTCCCGCGGTCAAAGAAGCAGAAGACACAAACAACGGTTGATGAGCAAGTGAAGGAGGGTGTGAGAGAACTTTTGGCAGAGGAGGTGAATAACATTGTTGCTTCAAGAGATGCTTTTTGGATGGCTGAGATAGAGAAGTTGAAATCAGAGATCTCGAAGAAACAAGGAAGTAGTCCCGCTGTCCCTTCCCAAGAGGCTAGCTGCTCACCTAAATTCAGGGAAGGTGGGCAGAATCAACAAGTGGCAAGGAAGAATCTAAAGGACTCATTTGATGCAGAACTTGAACCACTCACAGAGAATAATGACATTGGTGATGAGTGTAATCATAAACTGTCCGTGGCTGAGCATGTTGATGAGAAACAAAATGAAAAAGAAAGAGAAAAGAATGAGAGTGAAGATCAAGAAATTGATACTGTGGAGAAGCTTGTGGAAGTTGGAGGACTTAAAGTTTTTAATCAGGAGAGACTTTAACATTAAGTAGAGCCTCTTCTAGTTCACTAATAATGTGTACTACTCAATGCAAGTGAAGGTTTGAGTATTAATTATTGGTCAGTTCTTTAGTGTTAGTCATCACGAATAATGCACTTCATACAAATCAGTTCTTATGTGTTGAATCCTATATTTTTGGAATTTACTTCATCACTTCTATGATTGGCTTATTAGATATTTGGTTTTTTCCTACGATTTTCAGTGGGCGCGTTGGGGAAATCTGGAATACACTGAGGATGACATCAATCAAACAAAGGTTGAATTTGCGAAGTATTTTATGAGTCATAATGCCATTTGAATGATTCTACCCCTGGACTTTGGTTGTATGTTTTATTGTGTTAGATTGTTGAATCATGTATTGGGAATTTATATTTCTTTTCTTATCAGTCTTTCTTGATCAGTCTTTCTGTTGTATGAATTATTGAACGACCACTGTATTAGAATGCAAAAAACATGGTTATCCACCAAATACAGTACTCCGAATGGTTGAGGCACAACACCAAATGACAATAGTTTGAATCTCTGCAACACAACTCCAAAACAGAAGCATCTGATTATGATAGGCAACACAAATAAAGGCTTGACTGACAAGAAGCCTTATTACTGTTAATTTGATATTACAAATATTTTACGGACAACTATATAAACTAGTAGAGGTAATACCTGCTAGACATCTGGTACTTGCAATTGTGTGAAATGAAACATAATCGTATTCTTAGTTTTAGATATACCACAAAAAAGAACAGTTATCTAATGCTAATGTTTTCAGTGGTGTTACAAGCAGTTGTCTGATAACAATTTCGACTACTCTCCCAAAATATTGTTTGAATGGGTGGTACGACAACGATCCAAAACAATATTGTTTATAGATGTCGTACAACTAAAACAAATAGTTGTTTAAGATAAGACCAAAATAATAGTCTGAACATTATACATACAACCCAACATAATAGTTGTTTGAAGCAAATACTTATAGTGGTCTTCCGAGCAGCTGTCTGGTAGCAGATTCAACTACTGTTTGGAAGTATAGTGTCAATGTTTAAAGGACAACGAACATAAATTGGAGTGTTAATAGACGGCATACAACCAAAAAAAAGTTGTTTAAGGTAAGACCAAAGTAATAGTCTCAACGTTGTACATACAACAGAAGGTAGCAGAGGTTTGATGGAATTACTTATATTAGTCTTCCGAGCAGCTGTCTAATAGAACATTAGACTACACCTGGAAAACATAGTGTAATCGCATCAATCCAAACTACAATAAACCATTGTCGTAATAGTCTATATACAATTAATTAAGACAGTTGTTTTTAAGTAGTTGTCTGAACTTCTATATACAACACAATAAAACTGTTGTCTGAGTATATCCAAAATCGTAGACTCAATCACGAGCAGACAACAAATGTTCAAAGTTGTGTTAAGCTACAAAACACCGGTGTCAGATTTTGATTTGCACAATTGTTCTAAACCGAGGTCTAGCATCCCATCAGACAGCTGCTCGGAAGACTACTGAAAACATCAATTATAGACTACTAAAATAAACAGTTGTCAGCCTCTGTTTTTGACGTAGTGAATTAACCAGACAAATCGCTCCACCAACTAAGAACGGCCATGCACCACCACCCCTGGTTGTGGAGTTACCCTTCCAGAGGAGAGGTCTCGAGTTCGAGTCCCACTCTGCGCCAGTGGAACTATGCCTCCCCAAAAAAAAACCCTTCAAGTGGTAGGGCCAAGCGGTGTATACTAACCCGTAGGGCCAAGCCAAAGTTGGGTTTCTGGGGTATGGGGCCGCGAAAGCGATGGGGCTAGTCACTATAAAAAGTTTACCCTACCACAGTTTAACGAAGCAACTCAGCTCAGCTGGTTGTGGAGTTACCCTTCCAGAGGAGAGGTCTCGAGTTCGAGTCCCACTCTGCGCCAGTGGAACTATGCCTCCCTAAAAAACCCTTCAAGTGGTAGGGCCAAGCGGTGTATACTAACCCGTAGGGCCAAGCCAAAGTTGGGTTTCTGGGGTATGGGGCCGCGAAAGCGGTTGGGCTAGTCACTATAAAATGTTTACCCTACCACAGTTTAACGAAGCAACTCAGCTCAGCTGGTTGTGGAGTTACCCTTCCAGAGGAGAGTTTTCGAGTTCGAGTCTCACTCTGCGCCAGTGGAACTATGCCTCCCCAAAAAACCCTTCAAGTTTTTGAGCTCTCAATAAAAAATCCTTGGCCGAGACTTCTCTCTGGCGACATGCTGCTACAGTAGCCGTCACCATAGCCATCGACCTTGAGCGCTCATCTGTTGGTGTCTCTCCTTTTTGAGTGTAGATTCTGCTTCGCCATCCTTGGGCGAGCATTTCTACCGGTGCTTTTGTCCTCTCGTGCTCTAGGGTGAGAACGGTGGCCAATTCCATTCTCGATTACTGTTCACTTTCTTCTCCAATGTTTCTTGGCTACTCCCTCTGATTCCCCCTGCTGCTATGAGTTCCGGAAAAGCCCAAAGTGGTAAGAAGATTAAGAGGAAGGTTCCCAGAAGCCCTAAGAAGAACGGGGCTAAAGAAGATGCTACGAAGGTTTCCAGCTTGGCTACCGACATAGCTATGCAAGCACTTGAGGAAGAGCGGGCCCAGACTGCTTCTTCCTCGTCTGCAACGTCCCCTCCTTTTGTTGAAGTTGTCCCAGAACGCGCTCCTCAGGTGGGGAAAACTACTGCGCAGAACACCCCCCAGGTGCTTGACAATATGCCTGAACCAGAGAAGGCTGCTGCCAAACCCGTTACCTTTGCTGACCTCTTCAAAGGTAATAGGGACCCTGACCAAGGTATGACTTTGAAGCATTATGATTTTGGTGAAGGCGTTCTCCATATCCCAGATTCTGTCATCAAGCCTGTTGAAGAACTTTGGGGTTTTTGCCTAGTGGGGTGCTTCACTGGACGTTTCCCTGGTCTCAAGGCAGTTGACGCTATTGTAAAGAGTTGGAATGTGCCTTGTAAAATTAATCCCCACTGCAAGGGTTGGGTCATCCTAGAGTTTGAAACTGACAGTGATAGAATGGCAGTTCTGGGCAGGGAGAGGGATAAAGCTTATGGAAAGGAGTTTAGGCTAAAAATCCCATCTCATGGATTCATGTTTGACTTTGCTGAGTTCACCACACTTCCTGTTTGGGTCCAGCTTCACAATGTACCACTGCAATTATGGTCTGAGGAAGCAATTGGGATGTTGGCTTCAAAAGTTGGAAAACCCCTAAGGACTGATCTTGTTACTAAACAGCATGGCAAGGGTGGTTTTTGTAGAGTGCTTGTTGAGGTAGATTTCTCTAAACGGCCTGTGACTCATTTTGAGGTATCTTGCATGGGAAAGTCCTACACACAAAAGGTGGAATTTGAGGAAGACCCAAAATATTGTTACCACTGCAAAACTTGGAACCATGGCCCCTACCATTGTAGAGCTTTGGAGCTGAAAGCTAAACAGGACCAGGCAGAATTGGAGGCTAAACAGGACCATGCTGAGTTGGAGGCTAAACACAATGAAGCTACGGACAAGCCAAATGAGCATAAGGGGCATCTTGGGAAAGGTGGACCTAAGGAATGGGTACCAACAGGGAAGACCACTCATGTTGAACCTAAGGGTGGCCTGACTCCCTCCACCTCTAATGAGAAGGCTAACGAACCTAGCCCAAACACTGGAAATTTGGTTAA